ATTTGTTCGAATTAAATTCGAACATAAAATTCGAATATTGGTTCGATTATAGAACGATTGTAAACGTTCCAGAAACGTTGAAAATAGTTCGTTTGACTGGACGTGAACAGGAGACGTTCAGAAATAGAATCGGGACCAGATCTCTAATTAGTCTGGAAACGGGGGACCTAATTCTTGCATTCTGTGAAAACGGATGAGATTGGCTATAATGTAATTATCTTAACCTTCACTATCGTTACTTTTTAAAAACCCAGCGAAGCGGGTCCTTGCAGATAGTAATTATATAAAATATACATTTTTAATATTTACTTTGCAATCAGGTTACATTATTATACCTATAATAAAACACATTTCTGTATTAACAATATATTACTGAAATTGTTTGTAATACACTAATTGCAATCGGTTGTCTTGTAACCGAATCTTTATTAAACAAATAAGTCATATGAGAAAAGTAATAAGTATATTACTAATCAACTTTTATATATATAATTCATGTATCCACAATTTAACATTGTTAGTGTTCAGGAAAATAATTAAGCAAATAGATTTGCAGAATTCTTAGAAATGTATTAATCAGGGGCGTGCCGTGACATTTGATGATAGGGAAGCTGTGTTCTTGTAACAAGCCGACTTTTAGGGGCAATCATTCAGCGATGGTCTAGGGTCCCTTCGTATTCGTTTGTTCGATAAGCCAGTAAAAACCGTAGACTTCTCTAAATGTATTTTTAATTAATAGATTATCTAACGCACTTAATAAATAAGCAAGTTCAATATAATTAACTCTGTTATATTAGATTTAATAGATTCTCTACGCCCTCTAAATGCCAATACTCGCTTCGATAACATCTACTAATTAAAATATAATATAACTATTAGCGGTAACTATCTCGTTATAATTTTCAATATTAAATTTATATTGTGTACTAATGTTAAATTCTATTCTATTTTGATTTCCAAATTGCTTCAATTTTACGAAAGATTCGATGCGAGATTTAGGATTTTCGTGTCTTTTGCCAGCTTTACTAAAATTATTTAAATGGTCAAAACCAATCTCATTCTACACACTAATTTTATTTAAAAATAGTAGGCAAGGCCAACAAAACAATTTTTGCATTTTTATGCACTCACAGAGCCATTTTATATCTTCATAAATTTTATCGTGAAAATTGTTTATCGTAAAAATTTTATTTTTAAAATAAAATTTGTGATCGATATACAATTATACATACCTGGTACAAAATACTATTCGATTGTATGAATATAGTTTTGTGAAGAAACGTACATAAAAATAGCATAAGATATTCTTTACTTTTTAAATATTAAAACAATCCACTTAGTTAAAAGTGCTCAGTATCAGTGACTCGTGGATGGAATCAGAGACGATCTTGGTAGGTGTGAGGGGCGTGCATGCGTGCCAAATCCCGAGGGTGCCGATACCGGTTAATGTCAAGTGCCTCTTTTCTCTCATCACTAGTATATGTCACAAGACGCGACAGGGTTGTTGTAAATTTTAAACGTTTCTCATCATAGCTGTAAAAATCTAAATACGTTAAACTTAATAGATTGTCCGTCTTTTGCTCTCTAATTTTCGTCCACGGAAATTTCCAAAATTTACAACTTTTCGGTCACTCTCGTTGAACTGGGAAAATTTCTGTTTATTACATCTAATACAGTATTTCTCTCTCAGCTTTAGTTGACAAGAATTATTCAACACCTGTCTAATTTCACTACTTATTTTTAAAAGTTTGAGGCTAATTTACTTAATTGTCAACATTCAATTACTTTTAAACTAAGTTCTTTAGTTAATTTTCAGCTAATCCAGGCAAATTTAATACCTTTATATAAAATTAATTACCAGTATGCAGTCCCTTTTAAACTAAAATTTGAAACTCTTCAGGCTAACTAATTAAACTATCTCCATTGTCTACAGGCTAAGTTAATTACCATCTTGATTATTCGTTTCAAAATCTTATACCCAGAGAGCGTTGAGTATAATTTTTTGGCTCGAAAAACTTTGATAATGACCCAGATTCAAACGTAACACGGCAGTAAGTAGTGTGCTAAGAACAATAAGGATAAATCTGACCCTCAACATGCATCGCGAATTTACTGTTTTTCGGTGAGAGACGGATATGTTAACATGGATACGTGACGTGCAGATTTTAATTTTCGATCTTTAGGTAAAAGGAATTACGAAACTTCAATACCGAATACAGTCTTTTCTTACCATATTCTTTAAGGCATTCGTTATCCTTGAAAATACTTTAGTGTCATGTGATGAAAATCCATAATTTCACCGATAATTTTCAAATCTCTGTATCAGATAACCTAATGCCAAAGATTTATAAATAGTATAAAAGAAGCATGTATATAGCATAGTAACGTCGATAGCATACATACAAACCAAAAGTTTATAAGTAATATAATATCCGTCATTGTATATAACAGCGAATTTATTCGTAATTACGCTATTATATAGAAGCCAAAATGTCTATTTGTTTGCAGCAACGAGAAGCATGGGCGATCTGTCATAAGAGATACCTCCCGAAAGCAATTTCTATGCGAACTGATTCCTATTTAGGTGTTTTAAACGTAAAGAGACCCGAAAAATTTCAAGTGATTAAAAATTCCAGCCCTTTGGTGAGGGTCGAACCCAGATCGACCACTCAACCACTGATGGATACCCCCAAAAAAGCTGTTCTAACGTGCAAGTTTATACTCATAAAATGAATATAAACTTGTACACACATTATCTAAGAGTATACTCGTCATCCAAAGTACTATGATTAGTATTCAGGTCAATATGCAATTTTGGCCATCCTGAATATTGGTGTTAGTCACCCTATTATTCATTTTATGGTCAAATAAGAAAAAAGACGAGGAATAAGTTTAATTAAATTTGTATCCGAGCATACTCAAGACGTTTATAAATTCGATAATACCCTGTAAATTGCATACCAACAATTAAGAAAACCTCTATAAAATCAGAAATTATGTTATTATTGCATAATATACTGCAAAAAAGTTTAGTTTTAATTACTAAATGGGAAATTATAATTTTAATTATCAATTTTTAGTTTTATTTTACTTAATAAGTGATTTATAAAATATATTTTTATAGTTGTTTCGAAATATATGCTCATTTTAATCATGAAAATTACATTATTTAATACATTTTACAACCAGAATAAGTGTATGTAAATATCCATTTTTTATTAATTTATACGTAACTTTCTTTATTATTTATTACTACTTTTATATTGTATACATCTAAGAAGAAACCAAATTCCAATTATAATAGCAAATAAAAAATGATTTTTAACAACAAATTTTAATCTGCTAATCCCATCCCCAGTAATTTTCAGTAATTGTAATTATTGATAACAAAAATGAAATACTACAGTATTTATTGGCATTTAAGGAGTAGACAATTTGAACACAAGTATTTCTGAATTCCTACTAAAGACCTCCAAGTATCCAAGAAATCCTTATAATTTTTCAATAATTTTTTAAAGAACTTGTTTACATCGTCACAATTTATATTATTTTGGGCATTATTTAGATAAAAATTGTCGATGCATTTAAAAAAATCCCGTATGCTTCTGTCTAAAAAGACATCACATTGATGAATTTCATTTATAACACATACAATAATTTCAATATACTTAGAAATATATGGGCATGCATCGATTATGGTTATTAATATGTCACAGTTTTTACATTTAGGTATATTGGTAGTCGCGATGGGGGTAGTTGGTGTTGCTGTCTGCGTCGCCTCTGTTGCGGTTGTAGTAGTAATAGTCGTAGTTGGAGTTGTCGTTGGGGTAGTAGTTGTTGTCGTCGTAGGAGTGGTCGTTGTCGTTGTAGTAGTTGAAGTAGTCGTTTCAATAGGATTAGTCCATACTGGAAATGTTATAGGTGTTACACTCATTTGTCTTTCCTCAATAATATGATTAGATCTTCCCGATGGTAAACACCTCTTTATATTCGAATTGTACTGAAAAACAAATTTATTTTAATAGTTTCGAATTTAGCATCTTACCTTTTTTTTCTGTCATTTTTATATCCTGCCTGCGATTTCAACGAATGAAATATACAAGTATAACAATTAATGTCGATGCAAAATATATTGATACTATAATTTTATGTGTAAAGCAATAAAAATTGAAAGAAATAATCGTGTAATATTAATTAATTAATTAATTAAATTAAGCTACTCTTAGTAAACACATTCTTATATATTCATATATCTGAACGAGTTTGTTCAAATATAAATTCCAAATATAACTGAAATATTTATAATATAGAAACATGTTTATTTGAAGAATAAAGAAGACATTAAACTAATTGAGAAAGTTGGGAACAATTAGAAAATTTCTGGAACGATCGCTCTAGCTGGGCGAAAATAAAGAAGCCTGAACAGCAGGTGTCATGGTTATCACCCAGTATCAAGAAGTTGAAAGATTATTTTAACTCTTTGCGCCCTGTGAGCACGAAGAGGACCCTATTCCCATATCTATCGGGGGTTTGTTCAGACTAAAGACGAAGCGGTCGAAAACTAAACAATGAGCCGTGAAAAATGTCTGGGTCCCTATTACGGTAACTCTGTTACCGTAATAGGGATTTTTATACCGTAATATAGAAATTTAGTCAACTAATACCGAGTTGGGTATTAGTTGACTAAATTTTCAATCATGATTAAAATTAACTGAATAAATTAGTCTTATTTCGTTTCACCATTATCTATACGTCTGTCCATTTGTCTCTCTATTCATCTGTCTGCAGACGGCCAACGAATGACAGTGGAAACATATAAGTCTTCAATTTGTAAGACTGCAGCCCAATATAACCTACATATAATTAATATGCTAACTGTTAAAGATAGTTTCTATAAATTACAGTTAAACCGATCTATAATGGAACCTGTAAATAGCGGAAACTGTCTACTATGAATTTCCTTTAAACAGGTTTGACTGTATATTGTAAACTGAGCAAATTAAATCGAATTACGAACAATCAATTTTGCAAAAATAGCATGCTATAGCAACGACGTATATTAAGAAGTGCTGTCATTTGTATTTAAATTTGTTAATTACGATTTAAGAGTCGTAAACATGACGTATACGACACTTAAATCTCTGCATATACGTGTTATTTCAGATGCTCTACTAAATAAAGTCAGTATTATAATATTCGGTGATAACGTTTTTGAAATGATCTGTGCTAAGAACATACAAGATAAAACAAAATGACATGAAACTCCAGAAGAATAAACAATAGTTATAATTTATACAAATTGAGGTGAAGACATATTTCTGCTTCAAGTTTAATTAAGATAAACAACTTTATCAAAGATATACACATTTTGTAATTCCAACAGGAGGATACTAAGTGAGTCAGGTTCGGTAGTTGTAGGATTTGATTGATGGAATAAAAATTAAGGTAACGCCACACATGGGAGTTCTGTTAATGAAAATACACTAGTGTCGACTTATAACGAACCTGCTTATAACAAATTCTAGGCTATAAAGAATCAATTTTAAAAATACAAATAAAACGCTCATAAAAGTAACGTTATTTTTTCTGGTTAGAACAAACTCATATATAAAGGAGAATATTTGGATTTTAAAAAATACTAGTAATAAAAACATATTATATATTTACAATTAATAATTTTATAAACTAATGAAAAATATATCCAGTAGATACCCGCCTTACGACCTAATTACTTTTTGCAAAATGTCGTTATACAAATCATCCGTTATTCTATAAGTTTAGTGTTATAAACAAGTTATTTTCCTGGAAACAAATTTTAACTTCGTAATTTAAATATTTTTCTCTAACAAAAATATATGATGTTAAATATACCATTTTACATGCCCAAAATATTAAATAACGTCAGACGAAATAAAAAAGCATAAAAAACTCTGGGTCGTAAAGCGGGGGTCTACTGTACTTAATAGTAATGTATATAAAAATGCATAATTTTTATTACGTGAATATCGAATGTTATAAAAATTCAATAGATAAACTATTTATTTATATAATTTATATAAAATAAAAATAACTTACTGTTTTTATACTTCTCAATGATGAGATAAATGATTCAAATATTTTTTCTAAACTGTTATTATCATTATTAAGAATTTGATTCCATATAATACTACTGTAAAATGAATTTCTTACATCTGGTTCTTCATCTCCATATACACACAGACATATTCCTTTTTAAATATATAAAATTTTCATTATAAATCGACACTTTAACAATAAAAATATTGAAAGTTCTTTTTAAATTTATATCAAAACAATTTATAACACCAATCAGTACAAGTAAAACATAAAAATATTGTTTGGTTTTAATTTCAATTTAATTAATCAGTGGTCAAACAATTAGATTTAGTTCGAAAAACAGGGAAAAAGGCTGGATGCCTGCAAAGAAGACCTTCTTTAGGTGTAATGCATGCAAAAAATACCCCGCAAAACTCCAGTGTTCAACCAGTTCTTGAGGCGTGAACCTGCGACTAATTATTAGTGTTCGGTGGTTCCATCAACTCGCCCAGTATTAGACGTGAACATAAGATAATACAGAGAAATAGTAAAATTGGGACAACTAATAAAGAATAAACTTGAAAAATAAGGGGGAAAAGAGGCAAATAAACCAAACCTAAATTAATATTATATTACATTGTGTTTAGGTTGATGAGAATAATGAAAACACAGTATATGAGTGATTTGCAAAAGGCAGCTTTCCGAAAAAAGTATCTATAGAAAGCTGCGTATTTTGGACGTTGGACAAGTAAAAATATCCGTAAAGCTGCACAAACTAGTAGTTTAGAAAGTAAATTTATACAATAAGATACAGTTAGTAATTTCTGTTTAATTAATTAATTTATATAGTAAGGTAGGAAATGAGAATGTAATTTAAAAAACAACCCTAAATGTTAATTTTTAAAAATTTTAATTATAACTGAATAAATTTTNTTTATTAAAGCGAAACTCTATAAAATGATGCAAATATTAGCATTTTTCTTCTTAATATATTAAATAAATAAACTTATTTGTTGGCACAAATTAGGTCAAACTCCTAATTAAAATATAATACTTTTATAAAATTTAACTTAAAATAATGAACAATATTTTTCTTTTCGGATTAAGTAATTGAATTTTTACGCTTTGTGAATACTAAGAAGGTTTTTTTCAAGTACCTCAGTTCCTTCAACATTGTTTTAAGCCTTGATCGAACCCACGATAAACTTGTAGGATCAGTTAATGGTAAACGGACGGAACTCACAAATGATAAGTGAAAAAATTGGCTTACCAATAAAGAAAACTTGGAAAAGTGAGTTCATCCTTTTCTTTTAGTGTTTACGAAAGAAAAAATATATTACTTTATATTGCAAACGAATATAATAAAGACCAGAAAAGAAATTTTCAATTCAGCTCCCACGTAAACTTGTTAACATCTGGCTGTGAACACAATATTTTAGCACGTGACGAGCAATTTACCAATCATGGAAAACTTATACTTTCGCCATTTGAATGTATTCAATTTTATAGAATTAAATTAAAAAATATATCCCGAATATTATTGAAAGAAAACGTATTTAATAAAAAGTAATTCCGAGCATTAAATATGCAGGTAATAAGATTATATGTATTACCTAACGTAAAGCCGTCCAGCAGGGATCGAATGAATAAAAACACAATACACTCATAGTCGTTGATTCGTACCTGATCTACAGGCTAACTACGTGGACGTTTCTAAGTTTTCTTTACGTTTGTAATATCTAAATAGAAGCCAGTTTACCATAGAAACAGGCTGTTTCCTCAGTACGTATCACGTTACCGTAAACAAACAAACCAAACCTACCATCAAGCATAACAATAGCATGTATGCTTAATTATAGGTCATTTAAAAATACTTTATTAAAGCGAAACTCTATAAAATGATGCAAATATTAGCATTTTTCTTCTTAATATATTAAATAAATAAACTTATTTGTTGGCACAAATTAGGTCAAACTCGTGTATGTTCAGACCCTAATGTTTACCCATTACTATACACCTGAATTACACAGCATATGTTAACCTAAATCGCAATTTTGGTTAGAATGCGTACTCTAAAACTGTATATTATCATGTAAGAATATTCATATTTTATTTTGCTTTAGAGATTTTTTTCTTTCTGAGTCTTATGGCTAATACATTTCCTTAGAAAAAAAGACTTTTTTCTCCAATTTCTCAAGATTTGTCTGCTAGAAATGAAAGAATGCGATATCATAATGAAGACAAAGAGTTTACAAATGACCTGGAAGAACAATTGATTCTTTCGTATATTAAAGCTGAATAAGAAATTGATGCACATTAAAGTATTCTTTTTTTGCTTAAATTACAAATTATTTTGGAACCACAGTCGAATATCCAAGCAAGGGTAAAAATATCGATACGGCACTTGTAAATTTGGAGTCTCGTATCTCGGCACTTGAATACAATAAGAAAAATGATTACATTAGCTTAAAGAATAGTAAATCATTCGAAGACACGAAAAAGTATAATCTAAACTTATTTGAGTGATTGCTAAAATTGGAAGATAAAGAAAGAAAAGATAATCTAAGAAGGATTGTTTCCAGCCTAATAGAATTAGGCTGAAAACAATCATTCTAGATATAGACATACAATTAAAATGAGATTGCATAACAACGAGCATTTACATAAAACCTACGCACAATCCTCTCTACATACCAGCTAATTCGAATGACCCGCATGAATACAAAATGCCAACATTTCGTGCACTCATTAAGAGAGCGTTTACTTATTGCTCCAATGTATTGGACGGGATTAAAGAGATGGACAGAATTAAGGAAGTAGCTGCAAATTTGGGTTACCGCAAAAATACAATTAAAGGGCTAATAAAAAGTTACGAAAAAGGCAAGACGTTAAAAAGCGGAGCAGATCAATTTAAAATCACCAAATTTACGTATAATAAAAACTTCAGGGACATCATGAAGCAAGTTTCAGACAGAAAACGCTCCAAAATTGTTTACAAAAGAGGTCCTAATTTATACAGTATTCTTAGAAACGATAAAGACAAGCTTAAGAAAGAAGAAACAGCGGCCGTGTATAAAATTCCCTTTGAACCAACAGCTATGAACTATAAAAGACTATATTGGAGTCACTAGACGGAATTTGGCTATTAGACATAAAAAACACAACTATAACATTAGTAAAGGACATTGTAACACGGTTTTGTCAAGTATGGCACAAGCGGAGGCTTCGGTAGTTAAATGGAATCAAGCATCTATTCTCGAGAAGTTGCGGTCCCCATCGTTAGCTTTGCAACATGAAAAAATTGAAATTTATAAGAGTAAATTAAGAGACGGCTGTGTTTTAATAAATATTTCTCAGCGTTATAAGATGTTAAATGTTTTATTAAATGTTTTAAAAGAAGCTGAATTGATATTCAATTTATTGGTACTAATATCTTTACACAACGACTACTTTGTAGCTACTAGAATGATATTTAAAGATTTAAGATTATACACTAAATAATTACGTTTAAAAGGTGGTAGAAAAATTAATTCACGTTAATTGTAGATGAAAGGTAATTTGGGTGGCAAAATCAATCAGGTTAAAGACGAAGAACTTTTTGTAGAAGCATAATTTCTAAAGAAATATATAATGAAAAAAAATATCCTTTAAAACAATGTCTGTAGTATATTTGAAGATTAGTTCAAATATTTTATAGATAGGTTTAAAGAATAAATCTGATAATACAGAGTTTTTAAATTTAATTAAATTTGCAGAGATACTTTGTTAGGTTGAAGCGAAGCTTGTAGACAGTACGGTGTTGGTAGACCAAGTGGAAGTATTATTATTGGTCTTAATAAAGATACTTGTGTACTGAAACCCTATATCAGTCTAGATTTGTAAAAATATTAATAGATCTAATTGATGTCAAAAATATCCTTTTAGTTGTTTTTTATGTTTCTTCTAATAATAAGTATAATACTGTACTTCTCTCATAGTCTTACTGGATATTTTAGATAAATATATATGTTACGTAAAAGATCGAAATTAAAGAATGTCAATATTCTCTTGTGAATGTCGACACCTACCAAATACGTCGGTGAAAACCCAAATATTTGGTTTTATTATTATAAATTCGAACCATCGCTGGTATATATCGACAATCACAGATAAGCTCTGGCGGAGGTCGAAAAGACAAGCTGAGAAGACACAGCCAGAGAGAAGCGACAAAAACGCCAAATCGTTTGATCTCTCTCGCCAAATCCTCTGCCGCGATTGAGATAACGTGGCATCTATTTGTTATACTTTCGAACACTCTGCTGTTTGTCAGTCGTATGTAAAGTTTGCTGGTGCAGGCAACGTTTGTGTAATTTTTATTTCTTTATTCGATACCATAATATATATTGAATGGCACTACTGTGAACCGTGGTCTTTTTTTGAAAAGTTTCATGCATTAATTGCGAGTAAACAAAAAGATAATTGTTTTTATTTTTCTCAACAAAACGACTGTAAAATAAACCGGGAGGGATTTCAGCTGAAACTAAGTGCAGCACACTTTTGAATTACAGATGATTAATTAAAGTGTTTTAAAATTATAAAATTAATGATGAAGAGAAGTTAATTGGGCCATTAAAACCAGAAGAAACTGTATTATGTTACCAATAATGAATTGTTCAGTATACTATCCGAAACTCACACCAGAATAGGCCATAAATAAAGAACACGTATGCATAAAGAATTGCAAGTTAAATATGAAAATGTTACATATGAAGTTGTAATGTTGTATTTAAATCTGTGTAAACAATGTCAAATGAAACATAGTGCACCTAAGAAAAAGTATTGTTGTCAAACTAATGATCAGTTTGCAGTTAAACTCAAGATGAGAAGTCGCTTTGATAGACCTGCAGTCACACAGGGTTGGCGATTGCAAGTTCATGTGCATAGTCGGAAGTAGGACGAAGTCTTACCTCTTTTTGGTCGGCAACAGTTTGGTAATAACTGCCCACTTGTCAGGAGATGGCTGGGCTAGGTTTACTATCCCGGAAAGTCGGAATTCGTTTTGTCAGGACGAGTGGAGAAGGTGAGAGGGGTCGTCGGTAAGGCGTTGGCGATACTCGAATAAACGACACCATTTACACAAACAAACAAAAATTTAATCAATCGTAATAAACGAAATACATTCATCTAAGCTAGTTCCGGACCTATCGCAGAATACTGAGAGAGTTTATAAGCTTTTCAATCATACCTTTTGGCGCGTTTCTACTTCTAATCGGCAACAAACTTCTTTTGTCGTTAGGTCAAAAGCGGCGATTTGGCTGAAGGGTTTCTCGTGTCGGATTTCAACGGTGACGTCGACAAAGATACGGAGTAGCTCGATCGGTCGGGAACAAGCGCTTAGCTTGAACGATAATTCTGACCCCGTTTTCTGATATTTACCCCCTTATATGTTATGGGTCACATGATTTAAATTTACCAATCGCGACTTTAAGTGATGACTTCTCTGTGACTCAGGTTGAGGATCCGGAGAAAAAGAAAGTATCTTCCGGAGAAAGAAGGACGCACATCTGTTCGGAGATTCTGATATAGTCTCGTACAGGGGGGAGGTTTTAAAAATTCTGTGTTGTTGGGCCCTCCATTCGGAACTTCACATCACATTCGTCTTTATAAAATCGTACTTGTCTTTAAAGGCAAGATCGATTTTTAGTTTGTTCAAGATGGTTACTCTCTTTTAAATATAAATGTCGAGTTTACATGAACACAAAATTTTTATAATTAATTGAAATTTTTACAAAAATCGTAATATGTTACAAAGTTATTTTTAGTTTATATTAATTACAAATAGATAAACAATTTACAATTATTTTCTTACTAGAAGGTTATCTTGGGTATATTGGTGATTGGATTCTGATGTGTTAATAATATTCGGTGGTTGTCTTGATGTCATCCTGGGATTGGTTGACCTTATTACTGCTCTGGTAGTGAGGATATCGGTTCGTGGAATCACGTGTGTCTACTTTTCTTTGTTCTTCAGTTTTCGTGAGGTTGATAGACGATGTCTTTAAAAAACGTTAACATTTATTCAAATCTGCTAGAATTTATTCACTTATGATTAAAATTCTTAAAAATTAACAGTTTAAGGTTGTTTTTTAAATTACATTCTCATTTCCTACCTTACCAAATAAATTAAACAAAAATTACTAACTGTATCTTATTGTTTAAATTTACTTTCCAAACTACTAGTTTGTGCAGTTTTACGGATTTTCTTCACCAGTCTAAAGCTTAGTTCACACTGAACGCGATTCGCTAGCGAAAGCGAAAAACAAAGCGAATAACACGTCAGACATGACGTCGTTTCCGGCGAATTTTACCATTTCGCGAATCGCTTCGAAGTTCGGAGCTGTCGAGCTTTTTCGCTAGCGAAAAAA